CCCCAAAACCCCAAAACCCCATACATACAATAAAAATGTTATTTACGTGATTTGAGTATCAAAAATATATAAAAATAATTTTTAATATAATAATAGATGTCATATCATAACTTGTTATTCAATGAAGCATATTCTCTGAATAAATTTTTCCAGAATTTATAAGTTAATCCATCTTCACCATTATTAATCAGCCTATCTCTTTTTATTCTTGGTTAATTTACCTCCAGGAGTGCTTTTGGTATGAGTATTGACATCATCAATATTATTAGCTTTACCGATTTGTTCTTGTAAAATTGCTTCAAAATAATCAAGTTCAGGATCTTTGGTTGCTAACTTATTAAAAGTCTAATCACCTGGTTTAGTTTAGATCTTATCAATATCTTATATAGAAGTATTTGGCAAACCCATCTCACCTTTCAGTCTTTACAAAAGCGTTTAATTTTCAGCTAAATCCTTACTGTCTTCTGCAAAATCTTTGAGTTTTCTGATAAACATTCCTCTCATCATATTTCTCTCTAATGGATCTAATTTTTTGCCGGTAAAACCTTAAATCATCTTCTTCAGTTTCCCAAATATTACCAATCTTATCAATGGATTGGGATTTTCCATAAGCCTTACAGTGTCGTAATTGTTGTTATCTGAGTCTGAAGAGGAAGAACTAGTCTCTATTAAGTTTTATCTTTGAAATCTGAGCACTAGTCTTTACTTTTAAGATAGCAAAGCTTACGCTAGCATTTTAAACTTCCTTAAAGTTTTTACTATTCTTATCGCATCCAATTCTTGCATGAATTTTTCCTCAGCCTTTTCAAACAAAAAGTGTTTTTTATAGATTTTCCTTTTCCTATTTTCTTCAATGTTTCTAAAGCACATGCACTTCAAAATGTAGTGAATAATATCTTTGACAGCATAAGAGAATCTTTCCCTATTCAAAAATGCGAATAAAATATTTCCTATATCGTTCTCCTATATTTGATTTTTAAACTTATACTCTCTTTGCAATGAATGCTCCTTTTCCTTAATATTTTGAACAGCTTTGAATTCATCATTAATTCTACCAGTTTGAATAAGTTCATACTAGCCAGGTATTTCATACTGAGGAAACTACTACTAATCAGCTTCATAGGAGCTCCTAACTGTTTAATCACCATTAACGTTCTGGATGCTAGTTGAAGGATATATTGCATTGTGCTGAGTGTTATAATTTGTGTGATTAGTTTAATTATTACTATCAAAGTTGTCATATTTTCTTACTTGGTATATCTTTTTAATAATTTTTGAAAAAAAGAGGCGTTGAGCAACGAAGCCAACAAAAAACATTCCTATCGATATAAGAGAACCTTAGAGACCGCCAAGATCTCCTAGAAATTCCAAGAATCCATAAACTTTTCTCTCGTAATTATCATACGTTCTGTCAAATCTGATGTAAATTGCTACTATGTAACCATCGTCATTGGTATATTCATCGTCGTAAGTTTTGAAATTTGTAGCCTGATGAAATTCAATCATTTCCGATTATCCCAATTATAAGAGAGAATCCTCTAGCTCACCCTCAGATTTCTAAACATAAAAATTAGTCTTTTTAATTCGCTGAGACTCCAATTCAAATAAAAGTGAATCATCAATGAAGTATTATAATCTCTATTGAGGATCATAGCTGTCTAGCACAAACTATGTATTAATGAAGGCAAAGCTGAAAGTTTTATCAGAAAAATACTGCTGCATTGCTGTTTCATTAGCACAATTTGCTGAAGATTTGAATCTAGATCCACATTTCCATAATTTTAATTCTAGATATTTATATTCTTGAGCGTAGAAATTTCCCTTGAGTTCATACTCCGTTTCTTTCAAGCAATTCATTTAATCAATCTCCAAATCTACTAATTCTTGTTTATCATCATACCTAAAGAGATCAGATCCACATTTAGTGATGTTTAAATCTCTTGAAGGCTTTTTAACTCTTTTTTAAGTGCCATTACTATATTTTTCAAATTAGAACTCAATTTGCCTGACAGTGAAGCCTCCAATATTAGCTGGTATATCTTCACCGATACCAAAAGCAAAATCAAATCCAAGATCTTAAGGTCTAAATGCTGGTTCCTCTTTTAAATCTCTTAAAAAACTAGTCTTAATGACATTAGGATTCCATCTATTTACAAGATAGACAAATTTATAGATTCCAAATGCCAGCAATACAATCATTAATACAAGGGAGATTGCAGCACCGAATAGTGTTTTGAATTAATCTTCCCCATTATACGTAAATGTAACTGATTATCCAAAATAGTCAATTGACTTGAATCTGTTTCTCATTTGCTTCTTGCAAGCTTAATCATGAGCAATTTTATCTTTCATAATGACTGACTCCTTTTTTGACTTGTGCTTTTTTTCGTTTAAATTTCCTGACGGTTGTTACATTAAATTTGATAATATAATATTGTATGTATATCCTCTCAAATATTGGAATATATATCACACAGGTTTGAGAAAAGGAATTTCATATTAGCTTATCTTACTAAATCTGATAGCTCATGGGGTTTTGGGGTTTTGGGGTTTT